AATGTCAAAGTTCTGACTTCAAATTCTGTGCTGTAACCATTTAAACTCACCCTTTAGTTTTCAAACTATGTTTTAAACAGACACAGCTACGAAAACCTTCTAATCTATGTGACTCATAAGTTGATAATTCATGGCTGGTTAATTTTTTTTTTATTATTTATTGCTTTGTCAACACAACCAGTGTTGAGAGCCAAGATGAACTCAGCTTGCCTTCTTTAATCTGGAGACTTCTTTCAAGCAGCAAAGAAAACTGGAGTCGGATTCACTGAGGCCCAAGCCAGAGGCTAAGGTGCGGGCACTTCTGTCTTCACACTGCTTGCACGACACCTAACTTAAGCTAAATGAATAAGCAAATCTTGAAGCGTTCAGCTGGATCACACCCTGCTATGCCAGCTGCGTACAAAACCCAAGATATGCTTTTCAAATGTAGAAAATGAGATGAGCTATGCATCGCAGAGCAGGCATTTGAAAGCCTGGCAGCTTTGGTCCCAATTCAGCCAGTCTTTGGCATGGTTCAGTCACCTTTTCTGGGGTCACATCTGTGTTGCTGACTTGCTGCAGGCTAACGTCTTCATGGTCTGTAGCCTACGCCCTGGGCTCTAGGGAATCATCGTAATTGTTCACCTTTATCGTTAGCTATGACTATAGCTCAGACATGTCCTCTCCACTGCCCTTTCCCACATGTTCATTTTATTTTTCAGCCTCAATACAGGGTTTAACGAGAATGATCTTCCAAAAGAAAAGATTTCACTAAGAATATCTGCCTACTGGAGAGGAATAAAAAGTGGTGATTATTTCAATCAGTTCAAGAGTCTCTCTAACAGATTGGCACCACATGAGTCACTTCTATCATTTTATGGCAATTTAGATCTCAAGATGAGAAGGAAGATGTACAATACTTGTGACATTCTCCACCTGCTCCACTTTATGGTTGTGCACATGTATCCCAATTGGGCAGTCATGTTTATACTAAAATAAACAACTCCCAAATGTTCTGATTATATACAGGTACAACCTTTCCTACTATCTCTGAAATAAAAGGGAGCACTTGAGAAACAATAGTATTTAATTGTTTCTTCTAAATCTGGTTGAGTTTTGCCTCCTGATCCTGTGAGGTCTATTACCTCACCTAATGCTGCAATGAGAATGAGAATGAGCCAGAAGTCCCTCAGTGAGAGGCAAAAATCAGACTTCACGATAAGAACATTTTCCATATATATCCTAAGCATTTCTCCCCTTAGAGACGTGTCTTTTACATCTTTTACTAAACTCCATGTGTCCTGCTGGCAAATACCTTCTATTTTTGTTTATAATTTTAAATAAGAATGTATGGTTATGATCTCTCCCCAAATGCAATCATTCCCTGGCCAAATGGTAAACATTAGGTTTTACAAGTATCTCAGTGTCTGCAGGTTGTATTTGGTTGCTCTTCTCTGCATTCTCTCTGATTTGTCCACAAAAAGATGCCTGGAGAAGAGCTGCAGGGCCGCTGGAGTCTTGTTAAGGATTACCACCTTCCCCATCTCTTTCATGCATTCGGGTACACAGAACTAAAATTACATCAGCTGTTTCTGTTGTCATGTAGTTAAACTGTTGCTCACTAGTCCTCTTTTGCTATCACTGTTCTTCAAGTTACTTTCCTATCACTAAGGAGGGTTTTCTCCCCACTTAATGTGCATTTATGATGCATATTTGCTTCCCAAGGTTGAAACACGCTTTGCTGTATCTGGACCATATGATGACCTTCTGTGTATGAATATTCCCAGCCCTATCCAACTAATATGCTGGATATCCCTGCATATGCTTCCTAAGTGCTGTTTATCCATTTGTCTCCAGATGCTTATACATTAGTTGAGAAAGCACCCAGGCCTTGGACTCTTTGGATGAAAAAAAGTTAAAGAAAAGTCAGTTAGCACTGAAACTCCTCAGGGAGCCAGAGGCCTGGCTCAATGGGAGATCTGTTGCAGGAAGAGCCCACACACTGAATGCAGGTTGCGATGCCCTGTTCATGACTGTGTTCATTTTAGATCAGCTGAACCACTTTTCTCCCTGCCAGCCTCTGAAGAAGCATCGCACACCAGTACTTCCCCTTGCTGCCACATTGCACCACAACCCCCCCCCCCCCCCTTTCTGGTGTTTGCAAATGGATGGATGGATATGAACAGAAGAAACATGACACAAATCAAAACATTAAAGGGTTTAGAAAAGTGGGTATAGATTAAAATCAACACACTAAATTTTCAGGAAACAATGCTGAATGGATACATAAGTAATTTAAATTTTGTGCTGTTTAAACAAAGTAGGAAATACCACAATTATACAAAACCAGTGCTGCAAAAGTTGTACTTAAAAAAAAACCCCAAAAATATATTATTATAAACATATGGCATGACAGCATCAAAGCACATATGCTCCCTCTGCTCCTCCGTCCCATAGTATTCAACCATACTATAATCTTGAAGTTCCTCCGTCGTCGTCCTGTTCCCCCCCCCCCCCCCCCCTTCTTCCCCCCTTTC